AGGGACAGGTGGAGGCTGGGATGCAGACGAGGTGTGCTGTGGTCTGAGTCCTGGATGAGGCACCCTGTGGGTCTTGGTACTAGGCTGGGGACAAAGTGCTGTCCACCCATCCCTTGGCTGTCTCAGGAGCCCCCACTGTGGTGGGAGTCCCACTGCCCCTCTTGGCAGCACCGAGCTGGCGGCAGGAGAGGCTGGGGGATAGGGTGGCCATGTGCCAGGGTTGAGGTTGGGCCTCACCGGGAGGCCAGGGGCAAAGCCAGGCGGGGCTCTCCTGGGGTCGAGGGTCAGGGTGGCAGAACGTGCAGCCACCTCCAAGCGGGCTCCTTGGTTGGGTTTGGGGCCTGGGGCCTGCGGGGCAGCACTGACCCACTTTCCGTTTGCGGATGACCAAGTTGGGGTCACTGAGCACCTGCTCCTCATCGTCGGGGTTCAGGACCTTGCACTGCCGCAGGTAGGGCGTGATGCGCGAGGGGTCGATGACCGACGTGAGCATCACCCGGAAGCCCTCCAGGACGCTCCAGCACTCATCATCGTTCTCGTAGTCCGACATGGCCTCGCAGGCAGGCTGGGGGGTGTGGGGCAGCCGCTGAGAGTGACGCCGGCTCCTGCCCCCACCCAGGCCCGGCTCCCGCTCCTTCTCAGACGCTGGGCCAGGGCTCTCGTCAGGGCTGTCGAGGGGGTCAGCCCAGGGGCATCCAGGAGAGGTGCCCAGCTCCATGTCCCATCCCCACGCTGGACCCCCCCAGGGAGGCGGCAGAGACACAGTGACCCGCTCCCCACCAGACCAGCCGAGGGCCCCTCCACAGCCTTTCCCAGCCCCTGCTCCTGCCCCTTGGCCATCCGTGTCACCCAGATGTGCAGCGGGGGAGACACAGATGGGGTCTGAGAGAGGAACTGCCTCCACAGCATGACTCGCCTCTGGCCTCTGCCTCCTGGACACTCCCACCATGCCCTGGAGCCTACTAGGGCAGCCACCTCCATGGGTGGAGGAGTTGTGGGCACCTGCCTGGCACTACGGCCAGCCCAAGCTGGGTGAGAGCAGGTTGGCCAATGACCCTCCCACTAGGGCAGCAGCTGGGGGAGCCGGTTCTGGCGGAACTTCCTCATTCCCCTGACCGACGCCTGCTCACATCCCGGGCTGTGCCCTCCCTCCTCCATGGCCGGCTGTTGATGATGCAAGAGTGGCCACCCAGCCCTGCCGCAGCTGCCAGGGTCGCTGCACTGGCCGGGAAGAGCTGCCCACAGGAGCGTGTCTCTGTCACTCCCCGCCGGCCCCGCAACGCTGGGAGGGGCTGTCAGTGTTGCCCTTGGCTGGCCAGGAGTGCTGCTGTGCTGTTTTCTCCAGGGTCTTAGGTGCTGGGCACCCATGAATCTCTGGACTCTCCTCCTGTCCCCGATGAGGACCGACCCCCATCCCACTGGCTGAAACAAGAGAACTACCCATGTTGGGACCAGCCACTGCTGTCCCTTTCTGCCAGCGCGGTGGAAGCCTCAGCCGCTGAAAGCCACTCCCTCTGGGACTGGGGCAAGGCTGGGAACAGCCACATGGTCCTGCCTCCCACGCAGGTCCCCGGTCCTCAGCCTCCAGCCCCACTGGGAAATGCTGCTTTCCTGCCTAAAGGAGCTGGGTCACTACTTCTGGAGACACTTGGTCTTTTGAAGTGTTTGGTCTTGGTCTTTTGAAGAATTTCTCAACTTCCCACTGTACTTTGTCACCCCATTCAGGACAGTTTTGACAGACAAGGGGCTGAATAGAAACACCGGCCACACAGCGGACGGTCCTGGGAACACTGGGCCCCTTTCCTGCCTCCCCAGCCTGAAATGCGGGGTCCCACCTGCCACCGTAATGCCACTGAAATGAACATGTCTCCGCCCAGTGGCCATGAAAGGGATGGGGCAGCGCCGCGGAGGCTGCCTGGCTGCCTGTGGGAAGCCTCATGCTGCTCTGCGGGGATCAGCGCCAGGATCCTGAACGAAGCCGGCGCCGACCTTCTTGGTCACTTTTCAGAAAAGTACCAGACCCACCCACCTGAGGGTCTTCCAGGAGCCACCTGCACGGCAGACGCACCAGGAGCCTGGGACGCGGAGCCTCGGGGAGATGCTGCCTGGGGCTGCAGGGAGGGAGGAGCGTGCCGGACGCCTGTGCACTTCCTGATGGCTTAACTCCACAGTCCCGCCAGTCCTCCCACAGGGGGACAGTCCCTGGTGGCCTGCCTTCTGATTCGCGCAGCCCAGGAGGCCCCGAGAGGCAGACGGAAGTGGAAGTCCTCTGCCCTCCACAGGAAAACTGCTCTCAGCCCTCCCAGCCTGGCCGGGGGCCGGGGGTCCTGAGAATGCCCCAGAGGCCCAGCCCCGGCACCTGGCAAGTAGAAGAGACAGCAGAGACCCCCAGGAGGCTGGATGAGGCCAGACCGCACCCAGCCGCTTTGACCTGGTCATAGGTTTCCGGAGGCTTCTTCAGGAGGGCATGCTCTGCCCTGTGCGGACACCCTTGCCCTTGCCGGCATCTCAGGACAGCGGGGCAGGGCATGTGCAGGGGGGCGCACAGCCACACAGCATGGCCAGCACACGCCTTGGTCACGAAAGGGCTGCAGCCCACCTTATGGAGCCCAGGGGGCCACTGCAGCCTGCCAGGGGCCACAGCACCGGCCACCACCCAGCTGCACACAGGGAAGAAGATCCCTTTCAGAAGTGTCGCTCGATATCATTATCCTCGTCACGAGGCATCCCTGCTCTTCTCCAGGATGCACGTGAGGACTGAGGCCACTCCCAGGGTCCCCCAGACCAGCTTCAGAAGCACCGGTGACGGCAGGGCACAGCTCGCCCCCCCATCCACGGACAAGGGGCAGCAGAGTCTGCCCTGAACTGTGCGCTTCAGCGTGTGGGCTGCTGGAGCCTCATCCCTGCAGGCTTGGAAGCCCCCAGGCCCCGCCTCACCCGGTAAAGCTGGTTGAACCGAGTTGCCACCCAACAGCTTCGAGAAGGGGGCTGCCAGGCTGGAAGGCCAGGAAGCTGGTGCGGAGCTTGCCTAACCGTTCCCAGCCTCCGGCCCTCAGGCCTGACATCACGCATTGAGGAGTGGAGTTAGGGGTCCTCTGGGGCTCTCGGGAATGCCACACTCCAGGCTGGGCCCCTCACCAGCGGCATGAGCGAGTGTGCAGGCAGGAACGCCATCCTGGGCCCTGCTGGGGAGTGGGCCCGAGCTGGCGCCAGGCCCTCAGGACCCAGTGTTTCCCCAGCTTGTAAAACGAGGGACCCCAGTGATTTCCCTGTGGTGTCCGTCCTTAGGAATTAACACACATACCATGTTCTCTAACCATATCGGAAGCTAAAAATCAGTAACAGGTATCTGGAAAATCCCTAAATATTTGGAAATTAAATAATATACCACTAAATAACCCACAGGTCAGAGTGGCCACCAGGAGACTAGGCACCAGTTACTAGAGAACCAGGCACAGCACACATGCTCAGGAGCACGGCCGGCCATGGGACCGTCCTGTCTGCCGGGTGCCGAGGGCTGAGACCCCACGGTGCTTCCAGTGAGGGAGTGAAGCCCAGAGAGCAAAGGGCCTGGGGGCGCTGCTGCCACAGAGACGAAGGAAAGGGAGTGAGGGGACAGACGGAGAAGATGGGGGCTGGTCTTATGCCAAGAAAGGCCCACGCAAAAGGACAGTGAAAGTTGTGGGGGCTGCCATCGTGTCTGGGTAGCCAGGTCACCTGTTCCAGGGAACCCCCTGGGTCAGCTGGGGCGGTGCGAGGGCTGGCAGCCATCTGGGGAGGGTGCCGGCTCAGCATGAAGAACAAAGCCACAGGTGCTTTCCATGAAATGGGCGAAAGCCTGCTTCTCTGCTGGGAGGGCAGCCAGGATACAGGAGGCCTCGAGAACCCCAGTGCTGGGCCCCCAGCACCCTGCCTGTCCCCGAACTGCCTGCACTAGGGTGGCTCAGCCACCAGGCAGTGGCCTGACCCCAGTCGGGTGGGGGATCCCTGTACACTGCCCAGTATCTCAGGACAATAAAACCACAACAGCCTGTGTCCGGCTCCACAATTAAAAACAGAACTTTACTCCTCCAAGTGTTCAGGTGTGCACTTGGGGAACAGCTGTGCCCTGTGCCACACGGTCAGTTGGCAGGCCTGCCTCTGTTCACTGCGGACCTGGTCGGTGGGTGGCCAGCAGATACCTGGCCTCTGGCTGCCTCTCTGGTAGGCTGGGTATGGGCTGTTTCTCGTCAGCAGGGCCACGGGCTTCTGAGGCGTGCTTGTCCTGGAACACAGAACACCCAGATGGTGGGGTGCCCTTGATCCCAGCCAGACCCCAAGCAGCGCTAGGACAGACAGATAGGAACCAAGGCCACCCCAGCGCCAGTCACTCCTGGTCTGCTTGGTGAACCTGACCCACATGTGCCAAGGGCCAGGCCACCTGCTGTCTGGGCACCAGGGCCCCAGCAGTGAAAAGTCAGCCCGGTGGGCTGTGGTTGGTGATGGTGGGGAGACGACGGAGCAATGCACGGGAACCGGGCACCGCCAGAGCACAGCGGCCAGGGAGGAGCCCAGACCCCAACAAAGGTAGGGAATGAACCTGTGGTCAGGGGCGCAGTGGTGCCAAGGCCCGAGGCACGGGTGGCCAGCAGGAAGGATGTGGGTTAAATGCTTCTCCCCCTGGAGGGCCTCCATGACCCAGGACCTGCCCACCTAACCCAGCACAGCTGCTGTGGGCGCTGAAGGCCAAGCAGAGGCAAGACCCCCTGTCTGGACCACTCTGTCCCCTGGGCCGTAGGGCAGCGGCCTCCCCACTCAGGACTCACCTGCTGCTCACACCAGCCGCCTCCGCTTCCGGGTGTGCCTGGCATGCCGGGTTCTGAGCACATCAAGGTCGTCAACATCAAGGTCATTAAAAGCATCCAGGCAGGAGGCGGCAGAGCATCTACCAGAGTCTGGGGGTCCCTGAAACAAAATCCAGGCAATGGGGACCAGAGTGACCCCCATCCCCCGCGCCATGATGGGTGAGGAAGGGACAGGGAGTGAGAAGGGGTCCTGTGGGCGAGTGTACCACTTGGGACCGGGCACCCTCAGCTTGGGCAGGAGCTGCTCCAGGCACTCCTGGGGCCACACATGACGGTCCTCTCCCTCAGGGGCTCGGACCCCGTCTAGCCATCCCTGTGGCAGGCCTCCTGCTCCCCCATGGGGCGGCCATCACAGCCCGGCAGGGCAGGAGGCTGTACACGGATGTGGCACGGGGGGCTCTTCCCCTGGCTGGCCGGGGTCCTCCGCCCGCTCTCAGGCATTGCTTCCTCCCTCACTTCAGCCTAGTGACTTGTGAAGCACAACCCTGGGGAGAGATGGAAGGCCTGCCACATTCCCTACGACAGGCCCACAGGTTCAAGCTGAGGCTGCCTGCTTCTGGTGGTTTCTCAGGGAGGCCAGCCGCCGGCTGCTGCAAGTGGGCACCCTGGCACCAGGTGAGAAGGCCTCTCTGGGGGCCCCATCCACGTGCTTTCTCCTTCAGGGTTCCGAGCATGGTTTTGCCTACACAGCTTGGAAAACTCTTCCCAAGGATACTGAGAGAGGTGACAGCTGAGAGGGACCATTGGGACCCCAGAAATCCAGGGACAAACACAGCCACTACCCTCCACTGTGCCCGTGGCCCACCCTGCTCAGAGCTGGGTCAGCGTCCGTCCCAGAGTTTCTCACTGACAAGGCCACCTGGCTGGGCAGCACCAGGACAGCCAGGGGCTCCTGCACGAGAATGAGGCCTCTCTTCTCTTTTCCACACTGCCCCAGAGGGAGGCCACTTCTGCAGAATCTACACGCAAGTGGGCAGGCCAAGAGCCAGCTTCCTCCTCCTGAGACACCCAGCAGCCAGCCTTCCTGCCCACAACTTCTACCGGCCCCCACCCCACCGCTGTAGGCAGGCAAGGGTGCCCCAGGGACCGCCGCCTGCGTGGGGACGTGGGGCCGGGCGCGCCCCTTACCTGAATGTGGCGTGTGGCCGCCGTGCAGCCCGGCTGCCCGTCCCTGTCTGCGAGTTCCAGCTCGCTCAGGAGGTCCTCATCCTCACTCTCGGAGCCTGCCATCGAGGCTGCTGAGAGGGTGGTGCGGACACCATGGGGGGCCAGGGTGGCCAGGAGCGCAGGGAGGGTGAAGGCTGCCAGGAACCGTGCCCGCAGCAGGAGGTAGGCTGGGTTGTCCTGGAGCTGCCCCCGCACCAGCCCCAGTGAGGCTTGTAGCGCTCCAGCTGGCCGCTCAGCCTCGCCCCCCGCCACCAGGGAGGCGGCCTTGTGCTCCAGGGCCTTCTTGTGGAGCAGGAGGCTGGACAGTGCTCGAAGGCTGCACAGGGCCGGGGGCTGGTAGGGCAGTCTGCTTCCCAGAAGACGTACCCGCACCCCACGCTGGCCCCCCAGCCACTGCTGTGTGGCCGCCTCACCCTCCTGGGACAGCAGGCCCAGGTCCAGGGCCCCCTTCTCAGGCGCAGGCGCAGGCTGGGGCAGGGGTGGCTTCTCCAGGTCCAGGGCCCCCTTCTCAGGCGCAGGCTGGGGCAGGGGTGGCTTCTCCAGGTCCAGAGTTCCCTTGGGCTCTTGTGTTCCTGAGGGGGACCCCAGCGTCCCCCCTGGCTCACTTGCTGGAATGACACCACCAAGGGGTGGCAGCCTCCTGGGCAACAGGGGTTCTGCTTCAGGGGGGTCAGCCTGGGAGGACGTCCTGGGTGCAGGTATCTCCCTGGCCACCTGGGCCTCTCCAGGGACAACAGCCACACTGGCATCCATTTCTGCAGAACTTCGGGAGGCGGCGTGTGTGGGAGGGGCTGGGGGGACTGTCCCGCAGGCAGGCTCTGGTCCTGAGTTCACATTGGCTGGGGGCTGCCAAGAGCTACTCAACGCTGGGGCCCCGGGGCCCTGGGCCGCCTGAGCTTCCGTCAGGGGAGGCAGCAGAGTGGCCACCAGCCCTGTGGGGCCAGGCATCCCTGCTGGACTGGAAAGGCCCACCACAGCTGGCACAGGAACAGGGAGAAGCCCCTGGGCTGTGAGCACCCAGGTGACAGGCAGGGGGACACTGGCCGCCACACGTGGCCCTCCTACATGCGTCAGGCTGAGGGGCTGGATAGGCAGTGGGGTGGGGCTGGGGGCTGCAGGGAGAAAGGGTGATGCCTCAGGCAGGCTCTGCTTCCGGGATGCAGTGGGGGCCTGCGACTGTCCGAGACCGCTCCCAGGGCAGCTCCCAGAGACCTGGCTGGGGCCCAGGCCAGGGGCTCCGGAAGCAGCAGGGGCTGTGCCCTCGGGCCCTGTGAAGGCAGCAGCGAGGGGCAGCGCTTGCATGGTGGAGAGTCTCTTGTCCTTGGCTGAAGGCCCAGCCTCCTGCCAGGAGCCTGAAGTGCCAGGCTTGGCTTCTGCGGGGGTCCCAGGCCCCGAGAGTGGAACATTTGAGACAGTGGGACCCAGGGCTGGGCGGCCGTGTGGGGTGTGTGGTAGAGGGGGCTGGAGGATCACAGGCGAGGAGACCAGCAGGTGGGACGAGAGCACCACCGGGCCCCGGGCGGCCTCCCTGGCACGGGCCTCCTGAAGCCGCTTCTCCTGAAGCCGCTTCTCCTGAAGCAGCTCTGACACAGTCTTGGGCTTGGGCCGGGGGCCAGTCGGAGCCAGTGGGGACGCCTGGGGTAGGGTGCCCTCCACCTGGCTGGATGCCAGTCTTCGGCTCCCTTTGTGGCTGGCACTCTTTGAGGCTTCTTGAGCTGGCACATTTGGGAAGAGGTGGCCTGTGGGGAGGAAAGACCCACACTAGATGAGCCCCAGGCATCTGACCCAGGGACAGCCCCTCGCTGCCATCCCCTCATCAGGAGGGATCCCATGAGGAGTCTAGGGTCTTGAGCCAAGAAGGGGTCAAGTGGCATGTCCTGGGTCTCCTGAGTCACAGTAGCTACTCCAGACCCCAATGCTCCGGTCAAAACCAGGACAGTGGGCACTCTGGGAAGCCCAGCCAATTATGCTGGCTGAGACCAGCTGGGAGCCCAGGCCTTGCCCGATGCTGCCGGCGTTGGGCACGGGCGGACCCTTGCTCGAGACGACCCCTGCCTCTGGGCCCCATGCTGAGGAAGCCTCAGGGCTGCAAGGGGGCCCCAAGGAGCTCCAAGCTGGCCCAGCCAGACTCTCATCCCTGTGGTGGGACTCGAGGGATCTCTGTCACCAGGGGCCACAGGCTGTGCTGCTTGGGGGCTGCAGGTGAAAGCCAGGGCCAGGAGAGACCTCTTCCCCACCAGGGCAGAGAAGCAGAGGGTTACCTGGGGTGCTCTGAGCACTTGAGGGCGCCTGGAAAAGGAGAGGAGCGTCAGCAGCTCAGATGTCCTTCGCGGGCCTGGACCACCTCTCCTAGCATTTGGGCTGTCCCCTGCCACTCCCTGAAATGGGGACGAGGCCCCAAGGGCTGCTGCTGGCCTCCCACACGCCTCTGCAGGAACTCCAGGGCCACAGGAGCAGCCAAGCGTGTGGCACAGCAGGCAAAGGCCTGGCCTCGTGCACCCCCTCAGTGCAGCTCCTCCCAAGGGCGCCTTTGAGAGCTCTTCCAGGGGGTTGGGGACAGGGTGGGGTCCACAAGGAGAGGCAGGGGGCTGGGAGCTGGAGGCCCAGGGGTACCCCACTGCTGTCCCTGCTCCTCCAGTGAGTGACACTGCTTTGTCACCGCACCCCCAGGTGACGGGGCTCGGGGCGAGGCCTCGCTGAACTTGTGTGAGTTTGGTTTCTGGAGCAGAAAGGCAAGAACCAGGCACCCCCAGCAGACCGCCCATGTTCATGACCACCCGGCAGGGCTATGGGGGAACACAGGCACGTGGGCCCGCGTCAGCCCCAACCTGCACCTGCCTGACCTCCCCCGGCCTCTCAGGGCTGCGTCCCCTCAGGTGGGAAGTACAGATGCCTCCCCAAGGGGTTACGGCGGAGCGGGTGGGGCGGGCAGGGGTCACCCTCACTTCTCACCACGAGCGTCTGCTACCTGCAGAAGATGCACTGGTGGGTCCCGAGCACTAGCCTGGGGCAGCCTGGGCGGCAGGGCCTTCCTCTCTCGGACGACCTCCAAGCAGCCGGCAGTATCGATCTGGAACAGCTGAGAGACACGGGAGGCGGCCTCACCGCAGCTGCTTTCCGTAGCAGCTCAGAAGCTCCAGAGGCCTAGGCAGAGCCCGGGGCAGCCCTGAGGCTGTGCCAGCCTCCCATCTGATGCAGACGCGGGGGAGGCAGTGAGGCTGTGGACATCCAGAAGGGCCTCCCATGAGCCCCAGGCCTGCTCTCCTTCCCTGGCATCTTCCACTCATACTGGGGCCCCGGACACCCCCTTCCCCAGACACCGTTTAGTCGGGGACAGTGCACGCTGTAGCTGGCACCCCTTCCACGTTCACTTGCTAACAGTGTAAGGCATGGAAAGTGCATTTTCAAGGCTAGAAAACTTTAGATAACTAGACTTTAAGGAATGAATCTACTGCAGATTTCAAAACTTCACCAAGAACTTTTTACAAGGCCAAGGAAAACGAAGCTCTGCCCAGGTAGCTTACCTGGGTAAACAGGGTGAACACAGGGGTGCTGGCCAGGCGGGCCTGCTGCAGCTGCTCCCTGAGGCCATCCGCTGCGGGCACAGGGGGAGAAGTGGAAAGCAGCCCCAGCGCCCACGGGCACAGGGGGACAGGTAGACAGCAGCTCCAGCTCCCACGGGCCTTTCGAGGAGGCTCTGGGAGCCCTCAAGACTGGGAGCCAGGCCAGCGTGGGAGGGAAGCCTTGGAACCAGCACCCCACAGCCACGGCTGGACAAGGGTGGGCCCTCTGAGCCCTGTCACCACACAAAACAGTGTTAGTCCAGCTGCCACGTGCTTGGCCCAGGAAGAGTGGTGGGGCAGGGAGGGAGGGCTGGCTGACTGGGTGTTCTGAAAACCTTCAGGGATGGGAAGCTGACCAGAGGTGGGGCCCACCCCAAAAAGACTCCCCTGCTGAGGCCACTTCCCCAAGTGACCACCGTCTGCTAGGCTGGATGTACTCGCCACCCTCACCCCGGCCCCCAGAAGGCTCCCAGAGGAGCCCCAGGCCATACCTTGAGTCTGCACTGCGGCGGGTCTCTGGGGCACCTGTGTGCAGGGCAGGACAACGTCCCCCACCCAAGGGGTCACAGCCAGCAGCAGCCTGCGGTTCAGGAGCCTCCGGTGCAGAGCGTGTCTCCAGCGCCGCTGCCCACTCTGGGTGGCTCTGTGCCGTAGCCACTGCACATGGGAGCGGGCCACGCTGTCACCGGAGCTGACCCCTGGGGACGAGGTGGGCAGGGGTGGTTGTCTCAGCTGCTCTTTCTGTAAAGAGAAGGCGGCACCTGGGGCCCCTGGCCAGGCTCAGCCCCTGGAGTGGACCCTGCCCGGTGGCCAGTGCTGCCCTCCACCCCCGTCAGGGCATGATTGGTGGGGAGAGGAATCACTCAGACCAGGGCGGGGTGCGTGGTGGCGTGGGTGCAGGTATCTGCGGCAGGCCTCACCTGTGTGCGGCTCCGAGCAGCCGTGTTGGCCCTGAGCACCCTCAGCACGGTCTCCACAGGCACTGTCAGCCTCCCTCCCTGATGAGAAACTGGCCTGAGGTGGGGCACGTGGGGTTTGTAGGGCACACGGGGGCCTCCCCCTCACCGCCCACATGCAACTGCCTCTTCACGTAGGCTCCAAAGCGTGCCTGTGCACAGCTGCTCTGCCTCACAGGAACGTCCACCATGGGAAGTGTGGGGTCCCCAGGCAGGGCCTCCCCGCAAGGCCTGGCTCCTGGGACACTAACAGGGTCCCACGCCCCCCAGTCAGTTCCTCAGCCTGACAGCAGCAGCCCTTCCAGGTGACGCCCTGGCTGTGCGGCAGTGAGTGCCATGCACTTGGCTCTGCCAGTAGCTTCAGTGTCCACTGTCCCCGCCAATAACTCCCAGGACAGACGAGCCTGTTCAACTCTGACTGCTCCCACAGGCACGGCCAGAGATGGGCCTGCACCTAGGGCCTGACATGGTGAAGACCAACCAAGACGGGCAGAGGCACCACGAGCCAGGCTGGTCCTAAGTGGGTGGACAGGCCCTTCCCAGGGAGGGCCTCCAGGTGCACAGGCTCACGGCGAGGGAGGAGGGGCTCCTCCCGCTGCCGCCTCCGCCCCCCAACCCTGACTTGGGGGTGAAACATTTCAGAGATGCCTCCAGGTCCAAGTGCCCATTCAGCCATATCCCTGAAACAATCAACGAACCGGGAAAAATGGAGGCTTCCCCAACAGTCCCCACCACGCGCAGCTCTCCAGAGCTCAGCCAGAAGCAGCGCGTTCTGATGCGCACGAACCCTGGGGACCCTGCTGCTGCACCATCCCTGAGCGTCAGCCCTGGTGAGCAGTGACGAAAGTGCATTCCCATGGCGCACCGGGGCTGGGGCCTACCTCGAGGGCCTGCTTCTCTGCGCCCACCGGGTGAGTGTCTGCCGAGTGGGAGGCCTGGGCAGCTCTCGGGACAGGGCTGTGGGCCGTAGCAGGGGCCTGCACTGCACTCGTCTCCTCTCCAGGAGCCGCGGCTGTGGCGGAAGCTTCCTTGCTGCCACCTTGGCTGGCACTGGATCCCTTGGGAGGGCTGAGGGAGGCAACGTGGCCTCCCAGCCAGGCCCCTGCCCCTCCTCTCCATGGCTGGCTGGTGCTCTGCCTGGCAGGAACCCACAGATCCATGTCCGGGACCACATACTGTGGGGACAGCAGCGCTCTGTCACCCTCCCCAGCCTGTGCCTGCTCTGGCTCTGGCTCCTCCTCCTCACTGCTGCTGCTGCTGCCCCTTCCGCTGCCGCCACTGCCACTGCTGCTGCTGCTGCTGCTGCTGGAGCTCCACCGGATGCTGTGACGGGCCCTCCGCCGCCGCCTCCGGAGACCCTGCTTCTTCTGAGGGGAGGAAAGGGCTACTTAGAGGCCTTGGCGACCCCAGATCACCCATGACGGCAGCAAGCAGGCCAGCCCTTTGGGGAGAGGCCCAAGTGGGGCACCTCTGGGGTCAAGGGCAGCCACTGCTGAGGCAAGGTCTCCCTCTGCCCTTGGCCACCCAGAAGAAATGCCAAGGCCAGAAACCGAACGCCCCCCTTCCCTCCACCT